GGGCGGGTTGTGGCTACCAATCTGGATTGGCAATTCCTCAGGAAGTGAGTTGCGGGCTACTGTGATCTCCCTGCGGTATTGACAGACATTTCCTAGTCACGTTTGGTCAGAAACCATCTACTTGTACCAACTGGTGCAAATGGATTTTGTCATTTTGTCCATCCATCGTCTCTGGTTTCAGCGCATTGCATCCGTGTTCAGGTACGCCAGAGCATCCGCAGCACAAAAGTCCACGAGACACGAGCATTGCGAATTCGGGCCGAAACGAGCTCGCCATCAGGGACCTTCACAAGGGTTCCCTTATCGGCATTTTGTGAAAATAGACTGCAGGGTGCTACATAGCCCATTTTGGCTTGCCCAGAATAAAATCTGCTGTTGCTTTTTCTAGAGCCCCCGTTTGGTATCCAGAGCGATTTTCGCAGATCGGCAGATTTGTGTTTGCACTTGGCAGATACTTAGATGAACACAGCTACTTCTCTGCCATGGATCCAGCTTGGCGTGAGCAGGCCAGGAAGATGTTGGAACCAACTGCCGGCCGGCACATGTGAGGGTGCTCTGTCAAAGAACTGGGTGACATAGCCAATGTTTAGTGTACCCCAATGGAGACCAAAAGGGATGGGTATTGTTTAGACTTCTCAGCCCCCTATGTTGATTTAGTCGCAGATTCATCAGTCAGCATCTTGGTCATGACCAATTGAACAAATCCCGTTGCGGGAAGTCTAGCAAATTCCAATTCGGGGACCTCCCCACGCGAAGTAGAATTCACGCTTGTTGCTAAGGCGCTTCTTTTGGCTGCTGTTGATGGATGATTTTACGAGCCCCTGCTTCGTTGTGACATGTTCCCTTTCCTATTCTTCAGCCAGGAGTTAATTTGGGGTCAAGAGTAAGATTGCCCTCTTTGCAATCATGGAATGTGCGGAGGAGGAGTTTGCAAGACTACCGTCATCCTCCGTGCTCCTGTCCGCTTTGTTTTAAAAATAAAACAGGGCTTCTCTTTCTGCGAAAGAAGCAGTTGCCACCCAGCTGACTTTCAAGACCTTCTATACTTCAACTGTTGGAAAAAGATGATTTTCCCAAACAGCAAGAAATAACATGCCCGTTTTTTGGAGATGCAGCATAGGGGGGGCGTTTTCAGCATCCAGCAACCAGTCTCTGCAATTTGACATGGAAAAGCACGGGGGTCCCACTGCTGGAGTTTCGAGAAAGAACAGGTGATTTCCACAAAATGTGCAGCCAAACCGTTTTCTAGAAACATGACGGTTTCGGGGACATCCCCTTCGAACCCCAAATCGAATCTCCCCGGGTTGTCAAAGTGTCTATTGTCCATGCCCAAAAGCACGGTGGTGAGCTCTCTAGATTTCTTGTAAAAAAGAAGGCGGATCTCATCTGTGTTCTTACCCATCAAGGAAAGACATGCTTGGACCCGTCAAGCAGTTATTGGTTTGGTCAACACATGTCTTGGCCAATAGGCCCCTGAACTTGGGTCAGAATAGTCATGGACCTAGGAAATTTCGCCCATTAGTAAAGTGTGTAAAGGTTCCTTTTGAGGGAACCATGACCATGACCCACACAAAACCTGGAGATTCGACCGCTTGAGAGGTCACGTGTCGGAACCGGTGCTTGTTTTTTGGAATTCACAGCAGTCGTGTTTATCACGCCGGGGGTCCTAGTGTTTTGTTAAACAAGGAAACACCGGAGCCCCCAAGCGTGACTTCAAGAAAAAGCACACGGGCCCGCAGGCGTGAATTCAACAACAAACGGAGGCCCAAGGCGGGATTTCAAAAGAACAAACACGAGGGCCCAGAGTCGTGAATTACGAAAAAGAACACCGCGATCCACCAGGGGTGATTTCAAAGAAACAAACATCGGAGCCCGCAGGCGAGATTTCAATCGGACAAACAAACGGAAGACACCGGAGCCGTCAGGTGTCCCCCTTGTTCGACCCCGTTCAAAGCGGGCCACAATCAAACCCTGGTTAGGTGATTGTTTAAAAGTGATAGTCCCAGCCATGAATAAGTGCGACTGCCCTTTGAAACCTGGACATGGTTTTGGTTAGACCTCCTCACGAGGCTTTGAGTGTGACTCGCTCGTGTCCTTTGATGTCTTCTGGGTACGTGTTTGTTTGAGGGAATCGATTGCTGGGGTAGTTTTAAGCGGAAGCAAAAAATCAATCCAGCCTTCCTTGTTTTTGACACAGACCCTGAGGTTTGCCGAAACTAACACAAGCCAGGTGAAGCAGTTCTTCCGGTCTACGGTCTGGACCTTCCCCTGCGACTTCAGCTTGGAACCTCCGGTGCTGGTGCACCACTTGGATGAAGCCATCCAGGCGTACCTCAGGTACGTCGATTCGATCCCCGGACGGATCCATGAATACATAAAAGGAGCGCCCAAACTCACATTGGCCGTTTCTCACTTCCCAAGTTCCTGAACTTTAAACTGTTTGGAAAGACAATTTGGCGGCACAGAAGCAGTTAGTGTTTTCGGGTTAATCCACTGAGGAAGTAAGGTATCAGGAGGTTCTACTACATGCAGTTACACGGGCTATACAAACAATTTCAATCATGTTGGTGGACCTGCAAATGGCGGTGTTCTGCTTGGTTTCCCTGCAAACCAACCGAAAGCTCACAAAAGTTGGTGGACAGAACTCGCCAAGCGATGTCTAAACGGGCCTATTTCGATCCCCACATGTTGAAAGGGTGTTCTTGAAAGGGTTAGCGACTGGTTCAAAAAGGCTAAACTAGAAAATCAGTGGCCTGTTGCGTCAAACAGAAAAGAACACTAACCACGGCAGGGGTCCGTAGTTCTGAGGACCATCCACATACATGGGGGTTGATCAAAAGGTCCTTGCAAGGAGCTATGTATTCGGTGACCACTCGTCTTGGCTTAAATCCCTCCGCGAAAGATCGGCGATGGAGTTCGCGAAAGAAACTTATTTTTTCGCGAAAGATTCCGCGTTGGATTTTTGGAGGCATGCCTGTGCACTTACATATTTGCAGACCCCGCTCCCTTGTAGAGGGAGATACGCAGCACCTACACTTGCATTATTGATTCCCTGCCTGTGTTGGGAATGGCGCAAATCAATAACGTTGGCTGGGCTATTTTGGAGCAAGTTTCGCGAAAGATCCGCGAAAGACCGGCGAAAGTCCAGGGAGCTTGTTGCAAGGTTCCGCACATCGCCGGCAAGCGCAAGTGGCAAGGGCGAATGACGGTGACTGCTTGCACTTAACACTACGTACTGCACGCAGGTGAGCTGCGGCTATCCTGTGTGCAAGCATAACTGCAGCAGCCACAATGGCTCCAGAGCGCACGCTGCAAACAAAAGGGCAAACAAAAGGGCTTGGCGATGGAGTCGCGAAAGATTCGCGAAATATTTTTTTCTCGCGAAGATGGCGTTTTCCGGAAACAGGAATATTGATCAACTGCCACATATTGATGTTATTATATATACTACATACCTGATTATGCATGTGTGTATATCCATGCATACGTGTATATTTAGCTGTGCTTATATCTTAATGTTTATAGTTGCGTTACGAGCATGATGAAACATCTGCGATATGTTACATGTGCCATGGTTTAAAGACTTGCTTCCTTGGGGTCTCCTCGTGAAGAAACAGCAGCGTTCAGATCGGTCCCTTGTTCCGTGTGATCTCAGGAATGCGACGAGAGCAGGGGGAAAAATGGCGCGTCTGAGCAGATTGTTTGACTTCATTTACCTAAAAAGCTCTTGTTTCCCTTTTTGGTTCTATAGGGAATCTATGACTACTGGGATTTTTCCAGGGGCTCAAGCAATCGGAAGTTGAGCTGCAGCTGGTCAAGGGAATTGCCGGTAGGAAGGCTGCTTCGGAAGCTATACATGAAGCACGAACGGCCGCATGTCCTTTCCTCTCAAGGTTTGCTAGATTCATCGGCGCGGCGAGGCCCAGAGGCTGCTTTTGCCGCTTGGGCTATGCGAAGAAGCCATAGAATCCATTCAGAGAATGTTCAGACTTAGAATATCAGTTCAGAGCTGTAATTTTCTGTCATGGCATGGGCTCGTTTGAGGGGAAACCGGGGGAAACCCTTACCTGACCCAGTGGGTTGCTTTCTGTTTCCCATTTGTAAGAGGGGAGTTGCCCTTTAATATCATCAACAATTGCGCTTTTTTTCCCATGACGACTGGGGGTTTGGGGTGGCACCCTTAAAATTCCAGAAAGAACTTATTGATGTTTGGAAGGGTAGAAGCTTGATCTTTATTTATCAAGGGATCAACGAGCGACGGGGATTGGGTAGGCTCACCGACAAAACGGATCACCCCAACAATAGCGTCGTCCCTTTTTCTGCCGCTTGACTGGGCAGGGGTGACCTCCAGTGGCACTCCTGTCTTTGGAACCTGGCAAATCGATCTTCTAGTTTCAACATTTTGGAATGGGACAGCTAGAGATCCCTCTCCAGTCCAATTCGTGGGATGGCTCGAAACTCGAACCCCGTTGTTTTAAAGGGAAGCCAGAACAAACCGAAGGTCATGGGCTTGAGACAAATGGTGCATCGCATCGGATGGCTCAAGGGACATTCCTTTGGGAGGGTAGGGTGTTGTCTTCCTTCTCCTTCCTTCTCCTGTTCCTCCCAGCAATGGACGGTTGTTGCAAAGAACGTGGGTTTTGCACTTTTTGGGCCCCAAAAAGTGCAAAACGGACGTTCTTTGAAACAGGGGTTCTACCTTGTCTTCCTTCTCCTTCCTTTTGCAATGGACGGTTGTTAACGTGTGTTTTGCACTTTTCGGGCCCCAACAAGTGCAAAACACACGTTAGTTGAAACAACCGTCCATTGCTGGAAGAAAGGAAGAATGGAGGAACAGGAGAAGGAAGGAGAAGGGGTTTGTCGTGGACACGTTTTGGGAGTTAGTCGTGCCTTCGGGTGCTTCTTCCTGTCGGGGGCGTGCTTGGCACCAGTCGGCCCTTACGATGTCCGCTTTCTCTCGGGACTAAGCCGGGGTCTCGATGGCTCAGGGGACATTTTCTATGGACCGCCTCAAGACCCTTGCGCGGCACGTCACCGCAGAGGCCGGGGTCCAGGCCAGTAGTCCGGTCAACCAGGTTTTGAATTACGAGTCTGATTCTGAAAGAACGCCTGCTGGTTTTGAGGTTTGTCTTGATTCTGACAATGGACCTTTTGGCTGGAAAAACAAATAGAAGCTATCGCAGGCCATTTCCCGGAAGCTCTGACGCCGCTGCAAGTCTCTTTTGGGGCCTGAATCGCCTGGGTAAGTCGTTTTGGTAAGCGCTGCAATCTGAGCCCGTCATGACTGGCCTCTTTGGGGTGTGACGCCCGGTTGGGTCTCGAGAGACCTAGTGGCCAAACAGTAGCAACATAGTTGGGGCGGGAATCGACCACACAGAACCACAGAAGAATCTAAATGTCAAGATGTGTGAGACCAAGCTAGCACAGCCAAAAGGCCTTGGCGAATGAAATTGGGAATGAAATCGAGGGATTTCATCCACGAAGGCATTGCACCCTGCCCTGGGGACCAACTTACCCATGTCACGTGCCTGGGTCTTTAGATCACTGTGGCTTGTTCGTGGCAAGGCCGTGCCACAAGGCGTCGCGTGTGAAAGTGGTCAGTTGTTTTGCCACAGTCGTCACTGGGAGCACCATGCGCCAAGCTCGCGCGCGCTTTTGAAACCCCCATATAAACATCCTGCTTTTCCCATGCAAAAAGACTAGGGGGTTGTCTAGACAAGTTTCGACCAACCCCGATGGGGATTCCCCTAAATCCTCAGCAAATAGAACATTCCATTGGAACCAGGCTTCTATTTAAAGTCATACATAACCCACAACCGAGGGAAATAGCTTCCCTGAAAACAGGCCCAAACCAAACATTCCTTTTAAACTGGTGGGTACCATCAATTTGTCTGTGGTACTTAATATGGGGTATTCAAGAGTTTAGAGACCATGTGGAGCACACGATGCCGGCACACGATCGAGCTGTTCCAATTGCGTGACATGCTGAGCGTCAAGTGGAAGCCGCGGAGGCCTATGCGGATCTCAATCAGCCTCAGATGTGGAAAACAAGGAGCTTGGGGAGCCAAGCCAAGGCATATGTATTGCTGAGGCGGAGTCGCCAACAGTGCTGGCATGCCAGGATGGGATGCTGTGGATTGGCAAACTGGCAATCAGAAGATCGACGGCATGGTTTGTGAAAGTCCACACGCTCGTCAGGCCCTCCAATGATATTCGAGGAATGTAAGCTTGTTTGTGTGGGAGAGGCTCAGATAGGCCTTCTTGTCATGGACGGCAAGAAATCAGTTTCCTTGACAAAAGTGAACCGCTGCTTTCAGATTACCTTTTTGTTGGTGGGTTCGATTGGATTGTTTAAAAAGTTCAAGCACTTTGTTCCTGGCACCCTTGGCTCTGAAGGATCAACCCCAAAAAGATACGTGTTCTACCAGGTTCACTGGCAACTGGGTAGTCCTTGATTGTTCGTGACAAGTGTTCCCTCAAGGATGCAGAATGGCATGTTTCCCTCAAACAATTTCTTATCAGCTGCTGGAGTCCCTTTTTCTGCCAAGATCACATTTGCAGGTAGTCTGAACACAGCCGCATATGGCAAAACCTTCAGGTAGTTTTCCCCTGGCCAAAGTGCGGATTCCCTTGAACCGCCGGGCAGCTCTCGCAGAAGTGGCATACTTCCTAGTCGAGCTTTGGTTTGTTGGACATGTGCCACCAAAATGTCTCATGGTTTTCCGTGAGTTACTGGTGCCATTGTTTTAACATCCTCAAAGTCACCCAACTGATAAGTTAAAGGGAAGCAACCCTAGCTGGCTTTACCCCTTGAAATGAGCGAAACTGCGGTGGCGTCACTAGATGGGTGAGACGTCAAAGTGAAGGTTCCTTTCTTGGGTGTCCTATTCTTATTTTCGATTGAATTAGACTTGCCCAGAGCACAACTGCAGATTGTTAGGTTAGTTGAAAAGGATATCAAAATCAAAACAACCCTAAAATGTTGCCCTACACATTGCCACACCGCCAGGAAGCCCCGCTGCGCCCGACTTCCACCAGCTCGTCCCAGCCACGGAAGGCGCGGTCTGTTCTTGTAAGCATGGGCCACAAGGGCCCAAACCATTGGTCAAAACACGCCCGAGGTGCGTGTTTCTTTTGCGGAGAAGGATTCCTGGTCTAGCTTCAGGTACTTAGACGTTTAGGGCGAGGCCGCACATTTACCGTGAAGATTCCAAGTGCCCATGTTGATTGGTTGTGCCCTGTGATGGACATCAATAGGGAGTTTCATCCACAAGCCATTCTTTGGCAGAGGGGCCTCCATGGTCAGAACACATTCAACTTCCTTTGGGTGCTGGAGAAACAAGAGTTGGAAACCTGAACTACTTGGTACCCCTTGATTTATGGGCAGTGGCGCCCAACTTTAAAAGTTAGAGCCAAATCATGCGTGACCCGTTACTTGAGTTTGGTACGGTTTGGGTCTCGGCAGCCGGCTTCCTGAAACCAAACTATAAGGTTTGCATGTTGACTTCATGTTAAGAGAAAGCCAGAGACCCATTTGTTGAATGTTCCGTTTGAGTACATTTGTCTAAAATCGCCTGCAGACCTGACCCAGATGTCAACCACTCGTTCCACTGCCTGCCACAGGGGCAATTCGCAATATATATATATATATATGCACAATGGTGTCAAGATAGGTGTTGCCCCAGGTGCAACACACAGTGCAATGGCGAGGCTCAGGAGCCTTTTTCCATCGTTTTCGAGTGTGCCCAAATGCAGGAATTATTAAGATGTAAACTTCTGGATGCCCAAGAGACCAAAATAAATGTTGCTAAATATAGCATCTCCTCCAAATATTGGATCAAAGAAACGTGTACTAGAATGAAGATCACCCAAGATTAAAGTAAGTGTACCATAGGTAACGGTAATAAAAGCTAGAAGCTGTAATCAAGAAAAATGATGGAAATAGTGGGAGAGTCTTTAATACAATATGATAATGTCTCAGATTTAGAATTGTTGTCCAGATGTTAAGAGATGTAAGCCATGAAGATATGCCAGAGATTACTAGTCCTAATATAGCTCGATGTAGCATGCGAACACGAGGACAAGTGCAAGTTTCGGTGACAGGTGAATGCCCCTGGATACTTATTGTGGAATAAATATTGTTTGTTGGTGAGGAAGAATGCATCCCACAAAGCGTTCCTGGACTGAATGCTATTCGGAGGAGACCATATTAGCGGCGAGCAAAACCTTCGGACTCTTGTTGCCGGAAGTGAATACTGTACCAGACCTGGTAGATTGGTTTATGTTATACCCCACTAGAACTTTGCATGAAAACGTCGTGATGGTGGCGCAGGGTGGCAATGGGGAGTGTGCAGTTCAAACAGCTTGTTTTGTGGAGCCAGGTTCACCCTGTGATGTTCATTCACGTATGGCACCTGGGATTGCCATTGCGCACCAGCCATGTGGAGAAGCGGAAGGTTGCTGGCCTTCGACTGGATTCAAGGTAAAAGTGCTTTTCAACTCAGAGATCTAAAAGTTCTTCCGGTAGCATGTTGTCTCTTTGGTTTGGTGGCTTCACTCCAATGATCAACCCCCTGGTCGGTTTCCCTGCAATGTTTACTGAACTGACACTAGGTCTCTGGAAGTGAAGTCGAACCTGTGGTGTGGTGTGTATCCTCTTGAATGCGAAGCTTCGATGTCAGGTTTGGTATGCGCCCTACAAGTTTCAGGCCTATGGCGAAGAGGCCGGGAACAGTAGCTGTCCATGCGCCTATTGCCAAGGGGACCACATTCATTAATTAGTATCCTAAAGAATACAACGGGCCAAATCATCACAAATAGTTTACCTGTTAAAATGATCTCTACATTGTTTTTCCCTGCATTGTGCTTAGGCAGGCATTGTTGGGGTTGGACGCAGCTTGTGCTTGTCCTGGCCATCCATGATAGCGCTGCTCAAAAGATTGTGACAGACACCTCCTTGGGCGGGGGGGGCCTAAAGCCTTGGGTTCGGCCTTGGCATGTGGGTCGGATCCTCGGTTTTGAGGGTTCCCCGAAAAGGGAAGGGAAAACCCAAGCGGCTTTCTTTGTTGGAGGGAGGGAGCCTGCCAGAGACACCATCACAACACGGGAACTCCACGGGAATCTGGGCGCATAGCAAGAGCCAATGCTGCAGGACGCACCGAAAGGCATCCGCAGGGTCGTGAAGGCTTCCATGGACCTGAGAATATGTTTTTCCCCACCCGACAGGAAGGGGTTGTTAGATTTTATGTTGGAATCCGCGTTTGCGATGCTTCTACACCACGCCCCCACCCAGTATCCCGCCAGAGCAGCTCGCCAGTGGATCCCGCCGAGTATCCCGCCAGAGCAGCTGGCCAGTGGATCCCGCCCAGTATCCCGCCAGAGCAGCTCGCCAGTGGATCCCGCCCAGTATCCCGCCAGAGCAGCTCGCCAGTGGATCCCGCCGAGTATCCCGCCAGAGCTGCTGGCCAGTGGATCCCGCCCAGTATCCCGCCAGAGCAGCTGGCCAGTGGATCCCGCCCAGTATCCCGCCAGAGCAGCTCGCCAGTGGATCCCGCCGAGTATCCCGCCAGAGCTGCTCGCCAGTGGATCCCGCCGAGTATCCCGCCGGAGCAGCCCGCCGGTGGATCCCGCCGAGTATCCCGCTGAGTATCCAAGAGTAGCTCGCCAGCGGATCCCGCCGAGTATCCCACCAGCCAGTGGATCCCGCCGAGCATCCCGCTGAGTATCCCAGAGTAGCTTGCCAGTGGATCCCGCCGAGTATCCCACCAGCCAGTAAATCCCGCCGAGCATCCCGCTGAGTATCCCAGAGTAGCTTGCCAGTGGATCCCGCCGAGTATCCCGCCAGAGTATCTCGCCAGAGTATCTCGCCAGAGTATCTCGCCAGTAGATCCCACGAAGTATCGCACCAGAGCAGCCGGCCAGTGGATCCCGCCGAGCATCCCGCTGAGTATCTCAGAGTAGCTCGCCAGTGGATCCCGCCGAGTCCGCCTTGCCGGTGGATCCTGCTGAGTATTCGGCCAGTATCGAGCCGGAGCGGCTCGCCAGCATTCGCCAGTGGATCCCGCCAGTATCCCGCCAGAGCAGCTTGCCAATCTGGTTTGCTTGATGTCCAAAAGGGCCGATGGGAATATTTGGAGTTGAAGTCTCTAGGATGCGGAGGAATTTGTTGCAACGGTCGTAAGCTCGTGAGTGCGGAGGGTGGGGATTGCCCGAAGCGAAGCAATTGTTGATTTCTTTTCCCGGAGATTGCTGCGAATAATTATGTCCTCATTCATTTTTATCGAGTGTTCGCAAATGGAAGGAGAAGCTGTTCGCAGTGGTCTCTCTTTTTAGGCGATTTCTTCCAGTGCAGTGAGCGCATGTGACTTGTCAGCATGCTCGGACAGAGGGGGGCCGCTTTGTTCAAGAGAAACTTGAAGGAATCCAAACGTATTGAATCTGGTTTGCTAGAATATTCCTCAATGAGGTTGACTCCTTGACCTCCATGTTTCCATTTACCCTCTGGTTGACAGGGGATCCCCCACCCCCTCCTCAGGTTTTTTGTTGGGAGCGGTTCTGCAGGCTTTTCTGGGTCTTCTTTCTTCAGATTCTGAGGCATTTTCCTGGTGCTTTGTTCGAAGCCTTTTGGCGCAGAGCGCCATTTCGGGCTGTCTGAGACTTTGGGTTCTGTTAGCAAGTGTTTTTGTCGGAAACTGGGTTGGTTCCCTTGAGCCTGCCACTTCGGGGTGATCTGAGAATTTGAAAGTTAAAATGGTAGCTGATCCCATGAAATACTCTCTTGGCGTGTGCTCAAAGGGCTTTCTGGAGTTGAAAGTGAAGCAAACATTTGTAGGCAGCTTCCGAAGATCGAGTCATGAATGCGTTTGGGGCCAGGGCAAGCGGTTGTTTTGACCTACCACTTCGGGGGCAGTTTCTTTGAAAAGATGCAAATCATGCTGAAGAAAGGATTTTGCCAGAAAACAGAAGGATTTTCTCTCCATCCGTGCCGCGTGTTTGTTTTGGAGGAGATTGCCGCAGTGACCAGCGCCCTGCGGGATGGCTGGCTGGCGCCCGGCCCCCGCTCCTGGGCTCATCTTAAAACTGGAATTGGAAGGGGGGTGACCCCTGAAGTTCTATTTCCCTTTATGGGAAAGACTAGATAGATGGAATTCGGGAGACCCACACCCACCCACCCCACCCCCTCCCCCTTATTGCAGGGGAAATTGCAGTCCTCTCGCTTCAGTTGTCGCCAAAAATGACTCGGATTTGGTGCATGTAATAGCAGCCGGTTCCAGGTAAGTTCTAATTTTCACAGATGGAATCAATAGGCGCCTGGTGGGCAATGTTATATTTTCGGCATTTACTTGTTTTGTTTAACAGAATAGCACCCAGATGGGAAATACTAAGACATTTAATGAGACTGTATGTTTCCTAGGTATCATCTCAAACGTGGCGGGTCATTTGCTGAACAACTCGAACAGCAGTCTCTGATTTGTATGTCATCTTGTTGGGCCAGTCTTTTTGGTGAGTTTCTGTTGGGTGACTCCTCCTGCCCTCCTAGAAGGGAACAGTATTGGCTTTGGACAATTGCTTATGGTAGCCCAACCCTCCCCCGCCCCCCATGCCCCACCCCCTCTCAAATCTCCACGCCATAGAAAAGGTCGTGCTAAGGCCTTACCCTGGTTGCGGGTGTCATCCTAAGGCGCTCTGTGGTGGAAAGAGGGCGCGGTTTGGACCACGCAATCAACTAGCATTTTGAAATTTAGGTTTCTCACTGCAAGCTCACCAGGTAAAACAAGCTCACCCTGACGAAGGTCCTTTACTTGTGAGTACCTTAGTTGAGGCTTTGTAGCTACTTAGCAGCTACTGTAAACAAAGCAGACAGTGTGGCTTGTCTATCCTCCCTTGTTATTACGATTATTACGAGGCAAAGGCTTCAAGTGAGGCTGGGGAGTCGCTTTTTTGGGCGAAAGAGACCAGGAAAGGAGAACCTTGTCCCTTCAGAGTCCACTATTTCGCGACAAGCCCATCTTGGCATATATTTTGTGGAGAAATCATAGCGGCGTCAGGATTCATTGTGATGTCACCCATGTGAATCCTGGGGTTCCTTATCTTGCTGGTTCATAGGCAGGGAATGAGAACTGGAATGACTCCTTACTGAGAACCAGCAAGTTATTCCCGGGTGAAGTGCTATGAGCCCAGATCTTGTGGGGAACCTGCTTTGGTTTCACAAGGGGATACCAGAAGGAAACCGGGCCCCGTGTTGGGTGAAGAAACCAGGAGACAAACCCAAGGGTGTCTCACTCTTGGGAACCTCAATAATTCAATTTCCCTGGTTTGGTAGGTAAGCAAGCGAACCAGCTTTTCAAAGCCAAAAGGAAAATGGATCCGGCTACGCACTAGCTGTGATCCACTGGGAATGGTTTGGGCTCCGTTTCTTCGGGGACAAAGTCTTCCGCCCATCGGTTAGGTGCTGAGGAGTTTGAGGCCAAGGTCGCAGCGCTCTTCGGTAGCTCGCCTTGGATGCGGCAACCTTGGGGCGAGGGAAACCGAAAGGCAAAGACGAAATCCAGGTTTGAGGATATTTTGACACAGGTTGCTATCTACGATGTCTTGCTGCTTTGGGGTCAAAGTCAGCGGCCGGTCTGAGATGGACCCCCCCCCCAAACCACCGCAAACCAGAGGGGACAATTGGGATTTCAAGGCTTTGCAGGATCAGCCGACAAAACGGTGTCCTTATTACCCACCCACTTCTTTTCAAGAGGGGCACGCGTGCGCCAGCCTGGTGTCCTTAGGATCGCTTGGCAATCAATAGCTGTAAGACTGACGTGTGACTTTCTGTGAGCGTTTTCGTGACCTTGTCGGTATCCTTTGTATTGAGCTCATACCTCTAAACCTGGTGAGATCTCTTCCACATGGTTTTGATGAACCGGGGGTCTGCAAGCGCAGTTTGGACCGATTCCTTGGGAAAATCACAAATATCCCCCAAAAGCATGGAGAGCTTGGCCTTGGCAACTCGCCTCCAGATGACTGGGGTGGGTTCTCGTAATGTTGATGTTGATCCGGGGGTGTCCCCCTTCAAGATTTGTGCAAATACACGTGGTGCGTTTGCGCCTGGCGCAGATCTGAGGCATGCTTGGAGCAATTAGGCAGGAACATGTGGCGCCTGTGCGCCGGCCCGGCGCAAATCTAGTGCATGCTTGGAGGCAGTTAGGCAAGAGCATATGGGGCATTGGCGCTGGTCTGGCACATCCAAAGGCACACTAGCTACAAGAAGGCAAAGCGTGCAGTATGTCTTTCCATTTGAGTTTATGCCAGGGCAGCGCAATAGTTTGGCAAACTTGGCTGCAACCAAGCAAGCAAAAAGGGTGCGTGTACGGTTCCCCACCCGACAGTTTTGGGCTTGTTAGGTTTTTAGCTCTACTTGACGTCCGGCCCGCACCCCTTGCCCGCCCGCTCGTCCACTTGCACGCTCGCCGTCCCGCAGTCCATCAAACTCTTCTTCGACAGCCTAGGACAAACTCTTTCGACAGACAGCTGCGACAGAGTCTATGACATCCAGCCGTGACACACAGGAACTGAGAGTCCGAAGCCTGAGGCTCCTGCCGCCGGACCAGGACAGCCGTGACAGTCCAAAGTTTGCAGCATGCTTTGCGGCTCCCGTCAGGGACACTCCCTTCACCCAGGGCGCTCCAATTTTGCGCGCCTGCAGTGAGATCGCGTCCTGGTGATACGGCAGCCGTGGCTGGACCTCGTGCTGAGTGTTGAGCGGCCAGAAGACGAGCTGCGATCGACCAGGGCGCGCTTGGTGGTGCTTGGCAAGGACACAGCTTCTGAGGCTTCAGTCTCTTCCTGTCACAGCTGCCCTTGTCCAGCCACTGCGGTTGGTGTGGGTCAGCGCGGGCTTGCTTCCCACCCCCGGTTCTCTTTGGGCACCACACATGTCAGATTTCTTGGATGCCTCAGCAAGCTCGGGGACCTCACCAAAGACACCAGCAAGAACCCACGCACACCCAACATGGAGCGAACACATTTGCGCATCATGTAAATGAATCACTCGGTGCCAAAGAGGCGGTCCCGGCCAAATGGTTAACTTCGAACAGCCTCAGAATTTTTGTTAGCGTGCAGCCGCACAAACGCCAGAAGGTCAATCCAACTGCCCTGCGTCAGCCAGATAGAAAGTGAAAGCGAAAGATAACTATAATTATCATACTTCTGAAACTTCCTCCCACCGGCTTCTGCCGGCTCTATTTGGTAGGTGGGTGGGAGCCAATATTTTCTGGCAATATCCTAAAGGAGACCAACAAAGGATCGGTATTTGTCCAGAAAGGGGCGTTGGGGGCCCTGTCCATTTCCCCACAGATTGTGAATTATGTGTGCTCTTCACAACTTTGGTCTCGCAACAGTCCTCTCGGCTTGTAAAATCTAAGGCGCGATTTGCATTAATAGAAGAGTATGTTCCTGCGCCTAGCTGCACACGGCTTGCAAGCAAGCCTTGAAGAGCGGGGGGGGAGGGGAAACAACCACGAGAAATGACATTAGTCTTCCCGTTTGCTTTGATGTTTGGACCCCCCACCCCCTTCCCCCTTCCCCGTCCTGAGTCCTCTTTTAGGATGTCATCACTTTTGCGGGCGACGCCCACCTATTTATAGAACCGTTGACGCTTTGTCGAGGCATGAGCAAAAGACGGAGCTTCCAGTGGCATATTGGGTTCCTCTTGCGTTGAAAGCCAAACCAAAGCGGGTTCCAAAAAACAGGCGTTCATTATCTGCCAACCAGGTAAAAAGTTCAGCGTCATGGTGAACTCCGGCAGCTCTGCCAGCTGGCCGCAGATGGACAAAAAGTCAGACCGGATGGCACGGAACGTTGTTTGGCTAGCTGTTTCATCATGTCGGTGTTTCTTTGTACTGGAGACCTCCCCAAAAAATGAGAATTGGAGTACCCTCACAAGAAGAAAGACTTATTTGAGCGAAGTTTAAACTCGTTTTGGCAGGGCCCAAGCACCGGGATCCAAGCGAAAATGGCGTCAGGGAAATTCTCAAAATAGTGGACCCCTTGGGGGCTTAAAGGGAAACCACATGCAAACCAGATCCATTTTTTGTCCCCTAGTTTGACAAGTTTCCATGACGGCTGTTCAACATCGAAACATGTTGTCCAAGTTGGAAGGAATCAATTGATTTCTGCGTGGATCTAGATTTCTGCGTGTGTGTTTCACCGGGACCAAGGTGCTTGACAGATGTAAAAGTGCATGGCGGAAGCATATGATGTTTGTGCTCGATGTACACCTTGCACATGTTCTGAGAGGTTCTGAAAACTGCATTTCGCGTGGTACCCTGGCAGATCCAGGGTTTTTCGCTCAGGGCAACATCATTGGCTTGGCAGCTCTCGGTATGCAGAAAGGCCACTTGGAAGCAATGGACAGCTTGCAGTGCATCGAAAGAAACAGCAAAGGAGACCAAATGTGCTTGACGATTCTTGCGGGAGGAAAGTGTCGCCTGTTGCACCAAACCATTGTGAGTGCCGACGCATCCGTGAGGTGATGAGGTGGTGACGCCAGCTTGCAGGGCACTCAGACCCAGCTGGCCTCCAGGCACAAGATGTGAGCACACCACAAGGCCTCATGCAGATGGAAGGAGTCTCAGAAGGATTCCTCCAGTTTGGGTTCCGTGCTTTTCAGAGTTCCACCATGGTAAACCAAAGGGAAGCTGAAGATGTTTTGAGTCGCACACCCAAAATCGCCACATGGCTGTGGGTCCAAAACAGGTACCCAAAATGGAATCCTCGTAGATGAAACCACGGAGTAACACCTGTGGTCCCTGGTGGTTCAATTTTGACCCATACCCACATCCAAGAAATCCGTTCCGACGAATCCTTTGACTTTCCTTTGAGGCACCTTCGCAACCGCGGTGGCTCCACTCGAGCAACTTGGGTGGCCTGGCTTTTTGCGGTCAGGCTGGGCTCCTGGGTGCAATCCCAAAAAAAAGGAAAACGAGAAAAGAACTGGCTGTCTTTTCAACTTTGTCCCCCATTCCCTTTAAAGCCACCCCCATAAAGAAGGCCCTCGAGCAAAAGGGCCACCCCGTAGCAGCCAAGAATCAGTCCTGGGCATGTCGCCGCAATGAACCTTTGCCAAAGCTCATCGGCGTGAAGGTTGGCAGACAGTTGACATCACCCACAAATCCGGAGCTCTCCAAATGTTTTCTTTTTGGTGTGCATTTGCCTCAGAGGCGTTCGTAGCTGCTTTTTTCCCAATCAGAAGCTAGCCAGCAGAAGCTGGTTCCTAGGTTGATTCTAGCGGGTAGTGCGCGATCCGGCCGCGATCCGACGGCGACCTGCACAAGCCATAATCTAGCTATGTATATATATATATATGTATCTTGGCGCATCTATTCGGGTCCAATCCAGCTGCAATCAAGATTGCAAGGATGCGTTTGGGCAACGTGGACATCCCCGTTCGGCCGCAAGACAACGCCGGAGCCGCTTCCATTCACCACCGTTTTCTTGCAATCTTCGTTGCACAATTTGTGCGCACGATAGTCAGCCGCAGAAACCGCTCATGATCCCCACACCCTGCTTAAATTGACAGTTTCTAGCATCCGTCCTGCAACCCGCCTAACGTGTGGAGAAGATGAGGTGTCACGTGTCCCGGAACCCGCTTAGCCATATTTCAGCCTCCAAGCACGCTTGAGAGGCCAACAAAATATTGTGGGAAACCAATGGAAATTAGTTGTTGTCCATCAACTGGCGTCTACGGTCAGGAATCCACCCCGTAAACCGCTTCTTCTCGCAACGCACTTGCCCCAAAATGTTCCTGTTGGCTGCTTTTGTTGTACTAAACATGAAGCAGATCAGATAACTATTTGTCACATCTGCACCCCAGATGTGGGCGAAGTCTGATTCCGCCCTGTGCAGTAGACCATGTTCTGTTTTTGAAACAGCTCTGCAAATCCATGAAAACAGCCCCTTCGGGCCTGCATTTGTGATCGTTCCTGCGGGAATCACCTGCACCGAGGTTGAAGCCCGTCTTTGTGGACATCGTGCCAAATCGATATGTGCCATCGGTAGACACTTGTGTTGCAATTCAGGTGCAAATCCGTATCTTCAGCGGCGCGGTTCTTGGCATCCTGTGCAGATGAACATAGGAGCCCAGAAACGGGGTGCCCCAAGAGTAGCTCCCTCTTCAATTTGAGGCTTTTGGGGGGTTTTTTGTTAGTTTCAAACGCGTTGCAGACATGGACCGCATACATGCGCTCAGGAAATGGTGCTAGCAGCGATAACCCCAAAGACCAAGTGTATCCTCATTCCCAACCTCGCGGGCAGCAAGATCGATTGGGCTGAGCATCTTGCCAGCGAGTTTTTGCATGACATGGGCTCTGTCAGGTGAGGTCTATTCAGTCTATTCAAACACTCCCGAAAAGGATGCGTGGGAATTGTGCCGACCCCAGCCGTATGAAGTGCGAGCAGACTACGTCCTTTGTGTTGTTTGGAATTTTCCTCAGAGGACTGTTTCCTAGGTTACTGCGGCCGGCAGGGTCGTTGCAGGGTCCCGGTTGGTCGGTCGGCTGCCTGGGTCGGTCGGTTGGTTGGTCGGTCGGTCGGCCGGTCGCCTGCCTGGACCGCTAAGCCTCGACCCACCCTAGTTTGATCAACAGGTTTCATGGGTTGCTTTCATCCCTAAAACCGCCCTAAAGAAACCCTAAACCCACCATAAACCCGCCCAACACCCAACCTAAGTCAACCTGAACCAACCCTAAAGCAACCCTAAACCAACCCGAAGCAAACCCCAAACCAACCCTAAACTAACCCCAAGCAAACCCTAAATAAACCACCCTAAACTCACCATAAACCAGCCCTAAACCCACCCTCCCGCCCCTAACCAACACTAAACAAACCCTCAGCAAGCCCTTTACCAACCTGAGACCCACCCTAAACTAACCCAGCAAGTCCCTGTATTTGCTTGAATGTCTGCTGGTGTTTTTGGGTGTTATTGTTCGACCAAATGTTGGAAACATGTGTGGAAACCAAACTGGTCCCTGTCGATTTGGGGGTACTATTTGGATTGTTTCCCTTTAATTATCTACTCGGTGAGCGTTCCCCAGTTCCCTTGCAATCAGGGAATCAAAAGCACCCTCAAAAGGAGCCGCGCACAACTACTGTCAATGCAGTGTTGGTCTTGTCAATGGCAGGTTTTCAACACCCCCTCTACAAACAAGTGCGCTTCTGTCCGAAATCATGGTTGTGGAGCAAATCGGGTTTTAGTGTGTCTTCTGTGTTGACTGAGGCTTCGCCGGAAAGTGCCACCCAGCATTTGGCTCTTCGAGGACGTGCACGGGTTATTGATGAGGAATGGCGGATGGAAGCAGAGATCTCCAAAACGGGAAGCACCCCAAATTGGGTGGTCCCAGCCTCAGTTCTTCAACTTTTCTTGGGCTTTCCTTCGAAATAATCCTGTTCTTTTGCCCCTGGACATTGGAGGTCTGGCAGGTCGTTGTTTTTGTTTTCTTTAGTTCAATCAGACAAAAGGGCACACTCAAACTCAAACAGACAACACGCCCAGGGTATTGGGGGGTTTGGGATGTTCATGGAAAGCCGGCTGTCCGCGGGAAAGTATCAAAGCAGAGCTGCCGGAAGCCTCTCTCCCATTTTGGTATGTCGTTTGTTGAGGGCATCCCCCCCATTTGTTTGTGGTTTTATTTGTGGTTTTTAGGGGAAACCAAAAGGACCCCCCCCCCCCCATTTTGGGGCCCTAAAAAAGACGACCCATTTAAACTGTGTGATTGCGCGATCACTCGGACGGAATCAATTCGTGAGAGCAGAATTATCTGTTGAAACTGGCACTTGTTCATACGTGGTGCGCCTTGATGTGACAGCTACTACAGTTTCTTGTTTGTCTCCAATCGCTTTGTGGAATGTGCACAAGGAATATATCAAACAAATCATAGATGATGAGTGTCTGTCAAAATAGGGGATTCCCAAAGATGGTTGGCTTCCTTTTGGTTTCCCTCTAAACTACACAAGCGGGGGTCCTCTGTTTTGAGCAGCCCCTGAGCGATGATTCGTGCGCCACGCAAGCTCGAGGATTCCTGTGACACGATCACCTACACGGCGGAATCCGACGTGTCCGTGATCTCTTTCTATGTCTGGAGCTGAAGTCAAATGATCAGTCTTCAGGGAACCTCGAGACGGTACCTGCTCTCGCAAGAGGAAAATCCCACAGATGCCATGTTAGTGGGAGGAGTGGTACTCTTGGCAACTTGTCAAGCTCCGGGCAAAACAAGCTTCCCCCTGATGAAGGTCACGTACTTGGGGTCTTCCTTATGCCCGGTTTGTGGATAGTACAGCAGCCGCTGGCGTTTTGAACTTAGGCTGTCCGGGTCATATTGGTGTGTTTGTTGAGGGTACCCTTTTTGGGTTGGTTGAAAGGGAGACCCAAAGTTGAAAACTACAAGTCTTGGAGGTGCGCCAATTGCGAGCCATACCCAGTTACCGGAGATGGCACCATTTCCCCCATCTGCCCCCGGTTGAGTCAAACACCATTTGAGCAGCGTTCTAAATTCGATCCCTGCAATTGAAAGCACGGTGGATGGCCCAAATATTGCAAGTAAACCAACCACAAACTATTGGAGTTCACAGGGTTTCCCTTATTTCCCACCTGCAATATTATTTAGGGCACCCACCGTAGCTTTCGTGAGGAATATGGATCTGAACAAGTGTTTTGTCCTAGGTCGCGGAAGGCTACGCCAGGGTTTGCAGAGCGGCTTATCCTTTGCCCATTCGCGAAAGGTTAGCGTGGCCCACTGGATATCTACAAAGTTTTTGCGTTTCCGATGTCCGCAACAAGGGCTGAGACAGGGTGTGGAATGGTCCCTTGTGAATGTGGCAAACATGATGCAAAACAAAGGCAAGACAGGCAGAGCCTACAAATGTTCCAGACTCAGGTAACAAACACTGTTGGAGGCTTCTGCAACATGGCTCTTGTAAACCGCAGCCGGTTTACAAGTAGCGCTGACAAAATACAGAAGCAGCCAAACACACACTCAATCTGAAAATGCCAGGCGAAATCCTCGTAAGCTCTGCGCAAGCTTCGCGTAAGGGACCGGGTGCCTCGGTTCAGCTCCGGCCCATCTGGTCAATGCCGCCCAAGCCGAGGACATGATTGAAACTTGCTCCCAGGCGTTGGCGTGAGTTTGCAGCAGCCTTCGTTCGACATCGCCTTTGTCTTCCACACGATGCATGCTCTACTTGTGTGGTTTCGCTGTGTTCGCGTAAGCGAAAACACGCGACAGATCACTTCCACCAAACAACTCAAACTGCGTAAGCGCCTCATAGGCGTTTGCTATGTAGACACCACTCTCGCAAGCTACCCCGCTTAGCATCTTTCGCCCGCACAGTAATCTCGAACCAGGCTCATGGCGGGTCATCTTTGCCTTTCAAAAAAGACATGGACTTCCTTCGGGTTGCCTTTCAAACCATGTTGGACGAGCCATTCACAGCCGCATCCGCCCGAGGCCTCCCACATCATCACCGCTGGTGGCCTTGGCGGCTGCGTCATGTTCAACGAGGAGGCCTTGCAGAAGCTGCTCGGTTCTGCAAATCCGCCCTTTTGACCTGTCGGCTTTTCCGCTCTTGGTAGAATTCTTAGTGGCCCCAAAAGAAATCCTGGTATTTCTGGGTCCAAACTGGGCTGAGTTGGATCCCGAACTTTTTGGACTTTGCTTTTTGGTTCGGGGTCCCTGATGTTCTCGGTTTTAGTCAGTTGCAGGAGAGATCTGGTCGCCTCTGACCCCCCAAGTACCTCAAGTGCAGGGACCGCCCTAAAAATGGCAGGGCGATTTCAGGTATGGGCTTTTGAAGGTGTGGACGCTTATATTCCATGAATATAAGCTTGTAAAGCGTTATGTGCGTA